TTTAAAAAATGGGTTTTGTAGATATAATTCGTTAATCAAAATTTTTAATCTCCGGATTACCCCGTCTATAGCACAGGGAATCTGGGGATTGTGCTGGCAGGGATGATAACACATCCCGGGATATCTCGGAGCATTTGTTCAGGTACTGCTTGCATGCAGTGCTGAGCGGTATTTCGCATGGTGACCACTAGCATTGGACCTAGCAAGAACGTTTGGTTTCACGCAGCGCTAGGGCTATCAGGAATTGATAGCAATTCTCGAGCGTTTTTCATGCTGGCAACACTGAAGCACCATACCTTCGTTCCTCTCAGGATAGTTTAGGCTTGTGATACAGTCTTCCCCTACTCACTCTGTCCTGAAAAGCAGTCCAACAAATCAGAACCCAAAGCGGCTGCGATAACGGCCATGAGAAAAAAATCAAAACTAGGGCCATGCAGAATAAAACTCAAATTTAGACAGAACTAAAGCTTTATATCCTATAAAATAGATATGGCACGCGCGGGCTAAACGTACCAAAAATCGAAATGAACAGCAAACAGGCGAATGATGCTCCTCTGACCGAGGGACAGGAGCGGGCCCAGCATTGCACTTTAAACGCTGGAAGACTACTACAGAGGGATCGACAACCAAGAACCATCCTACGGTGATTTATTGATATGGGAAAACGTGTCAAGGTTACTTTTTGCTGACGGGGTAAGAAAAGGTTAACTTAAAACTTTTGGTTTGCTTTTACATAAATCCTGCGAATAAGTCGAAGAGAAGAAATTGCATAGCTCTACTGATACTATCATATTGTAAATGGCTGTCTATTTCCTTTCAGGGCATTACCTTTGATAGGGAACTCCTGTGGCTCCGTACTAACTGACAAGTCGCCGAATATAGAATGGTCCTGAAAGGTATCACTAGCTCGTTCGTCCGGGTCAGGCATATTCATTATATACTTACTTGATAAGTATAATGCTCTAAGAACTGAATGACGGTAATATAACACAAAAAAATATAACAAAATAATAATGTAACAAGATAACGTAGAACAGGAGGGAGAAAGATTGACTAAATAAAATAATACTGCATGAAATGTAAAAGTCGGAGGATAATACAAAAAGGAGTTCACTGCTGCGATTTGGACATAAAATGTCCAGTGAATCTGTCTTCTCGGTGTTGAGTCCATCTGAATCACAACAGAAACCACTCCAATCACTCGTCTCTAAGGCGCTCTTGCTCAATCATGAACCCGAGCTTAAAATTTGGTGCCGTTACATACTTCCCTCCTC